CTGCTGAACAGCCATGCGTAGCTATACAAAGAATATTTTGTCCATCTCTGTTGCTCTAAACATTTGTTTCAAGTTGAGAGTAAATGACTAATGAAGGAAATGGGTCAGTTCCACAATATCTAAGCTAGTAGTAAGTATGTCAAGTGAGAATAAAATTCTGTTCTTTTTGCAGGTAAAAAATTGGGTTAAGGAATTAAGAAAAATGTTGGGAAATGAAATCTGTTTATGTATAGTAGGTAAGTCTTTTTTAACACGAGTCTAATGACTGAATTGGAAATGTTTCTGTTAATAGCATCTTCCAAACACTGCTTTGTCAGCTTGTACATGTGAAGGGGTGGAGTTTATGGTTAATTTAATATTTAAAATTCAGTTGGAGGTAGAAGTTTCAGTAGATCGCATTGAGAAATGTAAGAGTTACTTTCAAAAAACTAAGCCATTTAATGATATGCCACGTCAGAAGTGCATGGTACAGATGCCTGCAGACTGTAGTTCAGCAGAGAAACATAAACCTCAAATGTGTATGACCCTTTTTGTAGGTACTCAAATGTCATGTTTTCTACTGTTTTCAGTGGCATAGGCTGGATGCTGGTCCTCTTTCATAATCAAGTGCTTGGGTAGTGGAGTGAGTCTTAAAACTTAGGTATTTCAGTTCAGAAAGAATGCAACAGAAATACTGGATTTAAATTTAAAATCGTATCTACTGACTAAAATACTTTGAGGAGGATATCTGTAAGGGTATCCTACGAAAGGTACCTCTGTAGCGTGGATAAGCTGCTAATAAATTACAAAAGAAAAGCAGAAGGCTGAATCAGTGGCTTGTATGGAGGCATTTAGCTATCTTGATCTCTCTATAGAAGTAGAACTTCCTCTTTATTGCTTGTAAATGCTTTAGTGAAAAGGGATTCTTAAATCATACTATTGTGTTCCAAATTGAGACCTGTGTAAAAGTCAGTCTTTACTGGGATAGCTTGTAAGAAAATGGGGTACAGTGATTACATGACTACTTCCTTTTGGGTAATTTTGGAGTACAAAGGCTTGAATGATTAACTTGTTTCCAACAGGTAACAAAATAGACTTGGAAAAAGAGAGACATGTTTCAGTGCAAGAAGCAGAAACGTAAGTCACACCAATTACAGAAACAGTCATTGGAGAATTGTGCTGAAGTAATAAACTTGTGATGCTATCAACAACTGGCAGGCATAAACCAGCAGTGCCTAGCTGGCTGCTGTGTTAAGTGTTCTGTTAGTATTGGAGTCCTGGAATGTCCTTACTGACCAAAGTGTAATTTGAGAGTTGTACATGGTTAAAGTCAACGCTTCTAGTTTAAATGCATTTCTAGACATGAATTTTTATTGATTTCATCTAGTGTTTTTCATCAGTCATGGCAGTTTTAACCACAGAATTCCCTTTTTACAGCACATGTAGATTAACTCTGAACTTGGAATAAAACCTTTTGTGATAATATCCTTGCTTCATGTAAAGTAGCCTAGAAAGTTTTAGTCCTTTTAATACAATGAAGTTCTGTATCTCTTCCTACAGGTATGCTGAATCTGTTGGAGCAAAACATTATCATACTTCAGCTAAACAGAACAAAGGAATTGAAGAACTTTTTCTTGACCTTTGTAAAAGTAGGTATTATCTGTTTTATTGGTAAAGAGCTCATTCACAAAACGCTCAAGGCTTCAGAATGCTTAAAACCATATAAAAGAGCTTTAATGTAAACTATTCCTAAGAATTTACTTCACCTGAGTCTACTTAAGCCACTTGTGTACTGTAACAGCCCTGGGACCTTGATGTATGGGGTGCTTACAATATCGCATATTTATGCTGTACTCCAAAAATGTTGTTTTGTTTTGTTTTTTTTTTTTTATTTGTTGGAGCACTAACTGCTGTTTCACTTGTGTGAATATTAACCTCAAATTATACTTCATGTGATGGATCTCACTATTGCCTGCTTAAAACCCTTTGCTTCAGCCTCTTTCAAATATTTTCTCAGGTGATGTCAGTTACAAATCATAAACTTGAAGTTGTGGTGATCCAAATTTTACACAGCAGGCTAAGCAAATGGTAAAGATCACAGAATGTAGGATAAAAATGTTGTAATACAAGGAAGTTGTCATATTGATTGTTGTCTTATGATAAAAGAGTTTAAGCAGAACTTAACCTAAATGTCTGATGAGTAGGTTGAGGGTTGTTCTTGTGGGTTGGGGTGGGGTGGTATGTGGGTTGGGTTTCTTACTTTTCTTTGTTAACAGGATGTTTTTGATATGGGTGGGTAAACCTAGCTTTTGAAGTCACTCACTCTAGAACATCTGACCATCTAAGGTTTCCCTAGTCAACAGGAGCTGCTGATGTTTGGTGCTTCAGGAAGAAGATTTAAGTATGTTCTTGTAACTATGCCATGTGATACTGGAGTATCACTTCAAGAAGTACTTACTTCTGCATAATAAATAGGAGAACTGGTCTTGCTGAACTCTGTGCATGTAACTCAAATGGATTAAGATCTCAAAGTCTTAGGTCAAAATGCAGTGGGATATCATGTAATACATTTCTTCTTCTACAGGAATGATAGAAACTGCTCAAGTGGATGAAAGAGCAAGAGGCAATGGTTCCAGCCAGTCAGGAGTAGCAAGGCGAGGTGTACAGATCATTGATGATGAGCCACAAGTACAGAGCAGTGGAGGGTGCTGTTCTTCTGGATAATTATAAAACTGTGCATCACTGCCCTCTCAATATGAAGACTGCCATATTCCAAGTCACGTGTTCTTTACCAATGGAGTAATAGAATTAACAGTATTTAAAAGTAATCACATGTAACACTGCAGAGACCTTAAGTGCTAAACTAGTGGCATCTGTGACCAGAGAATTGGCATTTTCTACAGTGGTTAACAAAGCAATTACCAATGGCCTTTTTACATATTTTTCTTTAATGAGGAATAATATGCATGTAGAAAAGACCTACTTAAAGGCTTCATTTATATTCTTTTAAATCAGATCATTATTTAATAACTTATATACATTGTTGTTGGAATGGTATACATTTTGCAGCTCTTTGTATTTCGTGGTAGATCGAATTGTATCACTTCTAAAATGCAAATTGATTTTTTTTTTTTTTTTTTTTTTTTAAATTAGCAGATATCTGAAGTAATATTTTTGCAGGGCCTCCACAAGCCTATAATTGTCAACTACTTTGATATATTCTGTTCATCCTGTATGCCAAGCTGGTAGAATACATTGTAAATTACATATTAAATACTTTATCTGCTTTTACAATTGCAGGTGCAGAAATATGTACATCAGTCTTGTCAGTGGTTGTGAAGTGAATAAGTCAGTGAAAGATGCAAGCTTTTCATGTGTATTGTTGAACTGTTCATTCTATTCCCCTACCTGAAAACAGCTTTTTTTTTTCTTGGTACATTCATAGCTACAGTTTTGGTTTGGTTTGTTTGTTTGTTTGTTTGTTTTTTTAAAGCCTTTTCTGGCAAGCAGCAGTATTTAGAGCATCACCTTAGTGGGAAGAGACTGCTTCCTTAGACTGCTGTTTATCATTGAGTGTTTGATGCCCAGCTAAAACACTTGGTGCATGCATGTATCTTGCCTCTGCAGTTACTTTGGCCTCTCAAAATATCACCCAAAGTCAAAGCAACTTTAGCCCTCATCATCTGGTAGCCAGTAAACCAGATGCATGGGAAACTCTTAAGCTTCACTAATGCATTTATGTCCCCAACACAGCATTATAAATTATTAATAAGCGTATTTCACCCACCACCACCACCCCCGGTATTGCAGGGCTTGAGTGAACTAAAGAATTGGCAGTAACTACGACTGCTTCTGATTTGGAGTGATTAAATAGAAGATATGAAACTTGCAAGATGTAACTTTGGGCATACTAGACGGAACTGAACTTACTCCTGACTTGCTGTTTCTCTTGTAAAGTGTTTTGAAGCCCACTTAAGTTTTAGGAGGAGGGTTTTCAGAAAAGGTGTATAAAGTACTATCACAAAGGACACAGATAGTGGTAGCTGAAACTTCAAAATGTTTTGTGCTCTGACTTTTTACTTAAGTTGTCATGCTTGGAAAAACAGTAAAGGTGATGTCTGTGACAAAATAGAATATTCCTTGGCCTTCCTTTCTCTGAAGGGTAGAATTAGTATTGCATATGAATGCATTGAATGTTGTGGGTATGTTCTGATGCACAAAAGGGGTAGTAGTAACTAATCAGTTTGTGTAAGAGAAACGTGCTGTCTTCAGGCTGATTTTTTTTTTTTTTTATTTTCTCTGAAATAATAGATGGCTTTGATACACACTCGTCCTGGTGCATTTTTTCACTTTCTGCCTAAACTGTGATGTAGATACTTTCTATTAAGCCACCATTGCTGTGCTTTTCTGGCATGATTGTGTGCATGATGGACAAAGGTGGTATGTTCACACTAGTGAACATAGTTTCTTGACTGCACAGAGGTTTGGTGTGAATTTAAAATTCATGTGTGCATATGTAGCAACACTGTTAACATTCTTATATCTAACTTACCAGTGAGCCTTGCCAAAATTGAAAGCCAGGTCATTTTGATCTAAAACCAATACCTTCAAATCATTACAGACACTGATAGGAGGAGTGAAATTGGCAAGACTTGATGGTCACAACTGGTATCTCCTCATAATAGGAGTTCCAGATTTTTTTATTCAAATTTCTTTTTCCCCGGTGATGGAAGTAAAAAACAAAACCAAAAAAACCCCAAACCAACCAACCAACCTCAACTAGGCTTGATAAGCAGATGAGTCATGAGAGCTTATATACACCAGAGCATATGTGCTCTCTCCAGAGCAGAGCTTTTCTCACTTAATTGAAGTGGACAGATGCAGTTCTGGTCTGGAAAGCAATACTAGGTGTTCACCCTAGAGAATGTTATGTTTGACTGCTTTGGAGTAGAAGCAGTGTGTAGAATATGTTTTGTCCTGCAGCTAGAGTTCTTCTTTCTTTTCTGTGGTAGGGGCATTCTTTGTGACTTTGTCAACTACAAAACTAACAAAGCCATGTTGATACTAACTCTTAAGTCTCTTGCAAAACTAAAACTATTACTGCTGAATAGATAAATGGGGATAAGAAAGCTTACAATCTTGTATGATTTCATTTGTATTAGCAAAATATTTTTTAAATAAATTCTCATAAGTTTCAGCATGAAAAATACTCCCTAGAAACTTTATTTATGGAACTTAAAACCTGTGCTTAGCAGCGTATCATTATATTAGCTTACAGAAGAAATACAACTTCATGAAGACAGGGAATATGGTTTCCAAGACTCAAAACCATGGATTGGTTAGACTGATTAACACAAGACTTCAGCTAGTCATTGTTAGACAAAATAAGACAGTTACAGGAAAAAGTGTCTTTACTGAATTTACTGAATAAGAACACTTATCTAGAGTGTTCTTTGCATTAAATGTATAGGAAAGCACAAATAGCTTGGCTTGCTGTATTTGAGGAGGTTCTTACTCAAGTAACCTGGTATTACTGCTGTGTGGCTTGGGTTTCAATTATCTTGCGTTGCTGTGAACTGTCTAGATTTTATGTCTGTCTAGATAGTATGGCTTGTATGTCTTAAGGAAAACTTATTTTCTTGGTGGTAACTTCTGTTGCTAGAAACAAGTAAGCTAGTTTTCTTCTGAGAAGAGTGCAAGAGAATAACTGCATCTGTCTTTAGAAAGTACCTCTATTGTGGGATAGATAAAACCAGCCAGACCTGCTACAGTTCTTGAAGAATGTAGTAATTTCAATTCCAAGCCAGATGAAAAACGCTTTGGAAAAAGGTATGAGGTCATGGAAGGTGCCTGGAGCTCACATGGAGTTCTCTGAAAATGTTGGATGCTGTCAGGGAAAAAAAAACAACCAACAGTTTAAAGAAGGTAAGAGGAATGGGAGTCCTGCTTGAGGACAAATGGAAGTTAGGAATCCCCACAGGCTGAAAGCAGTAAGTGATCTGAATGATAGTGTATGGGAGTAAGAGGTGGAGCCAGCAATCTCTGTTATTTCTCTACTTTTTTTTTTTTTTTTTCTTTGTGGAAGGAAAAAGAGAACTTGGAAAGAAAAAGAATAGGAAAAACTGAAGGTGTTGCTTTGCTAACAAGATACAACTAACTGAACAGGTTTTCAGACACAATACTAACCTACTTAAAACTTGATTAGAATATGCAAATTTATGAGCTATTTGCAGTTAACCGACAATCTTAGTTTGCATCAAAGTTCACTTTTCTTTTTTTCCTTGACATGTCAGGAAATGTATCTTAAAGTGAGCATGACTCTTACTACAGTTGTGTCAAGGAGTTGCAGATGAAGACCAAGATCCTTGGCCTTAGTTGCTGCACGAGCTCAACAAAGACAGCCTCAAAACTAGTTTGCTTTTAGCTGTGCTAGGCACTGTTGTTCATGCTACTACTCTTTGGAGGATTCTGCTCAACACTAGGACTTTCTTTCTGTTTAGGACAAACCTGTGCATCTCAGTGATGCAGCAGTCTACTGAATTTGGGCTTTTTCTGTCAAATAATGACAGTGTATACTCTTCCTGCTTGCCTTTTTTGGAGCTGTCCTTGCCCACTGTATTGAACAGAATGGATATTGCAAGTGACTTAGAAGAAATTGAAGTCAAGAGGATTGGAACTACTCTCTTGGCTGTTGCCAAGTACTTGATACCCTGTGAGAGATGCAAATTCATGTAACGGATCTCTTTTGAGCTGTTGAGACTGTTAAATTGCAGACCCTTTAAATTAACCATCGCTCCATTCTGAAAGGCAAACAAATCTGGGACTTGGTATAAGAGAACAAATAGTTTCTCTTTTCCTGAACAGGAAACTTGAACTGCCTAATCAGGCTTTCCTTAGTGGAAAGAAAAGAGGAAAGCACTTGATACCTAAAGATTTAAGTGCTGTCAGTGCTATTTGATCATACAGGCATTATAATGATTGTCTTCCTGGATTTTTTCATCTGATAAGCTCATTGAGCTTACCAGGCTCAATCAAATAGAATCCTTTCTTTGAACTTAGAGAAAATGTTAGCAGGGCAAAAGCCAATACTGAAAAGGACATGGCATTTTTAACATCAGGTACCTTGATGTTGTTAAATGTTGTAGGAATATTCTATTTGGCATTTGTGGATAAAAAACCTTGGAGGAATAAAAGTATCTAGCAGAGGCTTAACAAACCTTAACTTTTCCAGTGCATCGCTACAGTTCTTACAGTTCTGGAGTTCTTAAATAAATCTTAAGAGATTTTATGCACCAGTACATTTACATGAAGATAATTCTGTGATGAGTTAATTCCAAATGATCATTCAGCTGGGGAAATGAACTTCTTTAGCATGACTGCTATTCTATCAATGCCTAATATTAAAAGTGAAAACTGCATGTAAGTGAAATGGATCTATAGAAAGGGGGCAAAATGTGTACAGAAAATCAATACAAGAAAACAGAGCTGGCAAATCTTGTTACTAACATACCTGAAAATTGTCTCTTTTAGTTTGGGAAGTCACACAATTTGGAAGCTTATGAAGCTTATGTAATAAAATGTCCCTGAAAGTTACTGGTGATTGTTGGCAGTGGCTTGGCTTACAAAGATGTGGTAACAACTGAGACCACAGGTTTTTTGTTACAAATACAGTAACAAATTTCTGCACCCATCTGAGTATGATGTGATGAAAGATGGCTTTAAAATGCCAAACCATGCTCAGCAGAGTTGCTCTGTTATGCTAGTGCATATCCCAGAGGCTGTAGTGTGAGCAGGGACCCATCAAAATGTAGTTTTGATTTGCAGAACTGATTTTATACAGCCCAGAACGGGGGAAAGGAATGGTTACTGTTGAACTACATTTGCCAGTTCAGTGGTAGCCCCGGACACACTGTGTGTATGCTAAGGGAGCAGCAATATCAAGTCAAACATGGAAGCAAGGCTCAAGACTGGGAATTTTCCACCCGTTACGTTTGTGTCGTACTGATGTCCCACTTACACAAAGTGCCTGAGCACACTTTGCTGGTGAAAATTGCTGTTCAGCTGATGCTCTGGATTTGAATTGGACGGACATTGCAGGTGAAAACAGGAAGCAACAAGAAAAGCAGGGCAAGATAAGAGGAGTGTGCATAATTCCTGATTTGGCTGTTATTAGCCCTTTCACTTGCCCTTTTAAAAAGTCAGTATCTATATCCTACTAGTTTTGTGCCAATGTATTTTCTGTTTGTTGATTTTTTTTTTTTTTTTTTTTTTTTTTTTTAACAAGAAACTGAAACCCTAAAGAGCTTTTTAGGGTAAATGTATTTCCTTTACAGGTTCAGTCTTTCCAAAGGCTGTCCAGTATCTCATTAAAGGGGCTATGTTAAATAGTGAAAAGTGTGCTGCCTGAAGTTACACCCTGCAATCAGAATCCTATAGTGAATGTTTC